ATTTCCTATTTCTCCCTCTTAAAAGTAAATTAAATTGTCTTTTGTTTATCTAGCTCTCAGTTGAGCTCTCAGAGATCTTATTCAAAAAAGTGGCTCTCGTGAGAAAAATAAACGCCTCCCTCCTAGTCTTCCTCCTTATTTCTCCTCTTCTGTTTATTCCTGATCTGCCAAGGGCACCTGTGAAAATTCCTTGTCCTCTGTGGCACCAATGAGGCTAAAGATTCTGCTGACCTCTGGTTACTGACAGTCAAAAAATAATAGATAGCAAGGGGAAGATATTTCTCCTGGGTACCCACATGCACCGTGGAGCCCACACTCATGATGGTTTATCCCAATTGACTGGTCAGAAGAAGAATGCTACCTCAGAAATATCTGCACCCAATCTAGAATGGGTGGAAGGATGTTTTTTTTCTCCTCCATCAGCCTTAGAAGGTGCATTATAAATTAACAACTTTTTAGATACAGCTAGAGATAATACATAGATAAGATAGATGAGAGATACATAACATAATCTCTTACGTTATGAAGCAGGTTCCCTTGGAGTGGCGGAGACAAGCTGATTGTCTAAGTGGGTGAAAAGACATTAGTCGATGCCACATGTACATACTTAGTATCGCTCCACAAATCTACACAGAAGTCTTCATTATAGCTCCTTTTGGTAATGTGGTGCACCTAATTTCACCATCCACACCAGAGCTAACAGCTTTTATCTCTTATTAATACCAAACCTCATTATTTACACATATTATAAATGTGAATAATGAGTTTCTGTTATTCTTGTAGGGTTTATTCATTCAAGAAAGATTTAGTTAATGCTTACTGTGTACCAGGCACCATCAAGACTGGCTAATCAGGATAAGCACACAGTTATTTTCCTAGAAATTTAGGTGTTTTTGTTTTCCCATCTGATGGTTGTCATAAGTAGTGGGTCTTTGAAGAATTTCCTTAGACTATTATTACAGAATAAAATAGGAGTCTGTCTTGCTAATGATTATGCAAATAATTTATTCTGAACACTTTAATTTCTTCCTTGAAATCTTATTTTTCTCAGTGGTGTCCTCTCACCTATGACATGTACAACTTTTTTCCCTCTTGACTATATTGTTTGAGGCTGACGTCACCTTCTTCAGATATGAAACCATTGATGTCTGCAATCCTTAAGCAAGGGTGCAAGTAATATAGTTTTCTGCTCTTATAGCAGATTACCAAGTGTGTTTATAGTGAATGATGAATTTTAAAGTCATAGTTATGCTGTCAATATTCAGTTAGCATAACTCTACCTTCTAGATGCAAACATTTTGGGGTGGGGAGTTAGGACCAATGTACATAAATATTTTAATAAGAAACAAATGACTTGCTGTGGTCTGAGTGAATTCCAGTATTTTGAGCTGGGAAGGAATCAATGACAATAACTGATCTTGAGCAAGTAACCCACTCTTTTCATTTGAAAACAAAGACATAAATGACAATGTATAAATAATGACCAATTTGCTTACTAACAAGATACTATAGGACTTATTGGGTTTTTTGCATTGCAAATAAACCTGCAGATGTCTGACTTATTATCTTCTCTTAAAGTTAATCTCTGTACCTCACCTGACATGCTTTTGCTTCTATTCATATTTGCAACAAATATTTATTGCATACTTACTATATGCTGTGCACCGAACATGGCAAGAGATACTAGAGATACAGCACTTGAGTAAGACATTATCTGTGTATTCTAGAATTCCACATATGGTGGAGGATAAAGAAAGGGAAACACACAATGACAATACAGTGTAATAGGAGCTATAACCAGGAAGGGGGGGGATACATCTAACTTAGCCATTTTCTTTGAGAAAACTGTAGAAGTAAAAATAGTAATTTTCTAAGAAATCTTATTTGTTGATTACATTTGCCAAGTGAATAATTTGAGATCTCCAAATTTACTGTAAACCACACAACTCTCCCCTGTTGAAATTTCCTTGCATAATCATACAAGTAATACTTAAAAAGTGTTGAATAACTTCTTACTACAGTAACTCAAATCATTTTTGTAACATTTCATAGGAAGTTATATCAAGTGTTTTGCATTACTGAAAATGTACCTTCCAAGTTTACAGATTTGCAAGAAGATAAATCAATTGACAAAACTTTATAGAGCTGTCAACATACAGTGGGACTTCATTATCATCTAAGTAAAGAACAGATTTTTCCTCCTGGTTTAATATTTTTACTTGGTTGGTAACTTCAGGGTCTTTCCTTTTTCAACCTCAATATCACATTTTCCTCCTTGCCACATTCTTTTCTCATTTTCTGATTCCCAAGGATGTTTTTGGTAACATTTTAAGGAGCCTTGATGGTTTGTTTGCTCATTCTCTTAGAATTTTGTAAAATGTATGTTCTTGTATTTTCACAGTGGTCAGTAGTACTCATAACTTTTTTCCATGGGGAAGAAAATTCTTTAATTGGTTCAATTCACTTAAAGTTAGCAAACATGTACTGAGCACTCACAACAAGGCAAGCACTGAGCAAGGTGCTAACTATACAGAGATGAGAGACTCAACCCTTGCCCTCAGGGAGCACTCAATCTAGTTATGAGACTCAAGTTGGCTCTGGTAAAAGACAAATTCACCACCTAACACTTAACATCACAATTCCCTCCTCAATTCCTATGGTTCTGTTTCTGAAATTCTGTCAAAGTGAGAACCTTAAAACTTAAGAGAAAAATAGAGCTGGGAAGACCAAGGCAGTAAGCAAACCTATGAATACTCTTTATAGTATGGAAATCAGCAAAGACAAAACACCTTCAAATAGCTTTCATTCTCTAGCCTGCTACCAACCTGTTTACTATCAAAATAGATCACCCTGTCTGGACAACACATTTGGCCCAGAAATATAAAGCCTTGTCTTTTTGCCTTGCCTGTAAATTATTGGAGTTTTTATTCCATAGCTTTTCTCTCAAGATACTTCAAAATGATTTACTCCTGTGATATTAATCTCACTGATTTGTATCCTTTAATTCTGACATTACTTTCAAAGGATTGTTTTTTCCAAGGCTTTGCTTGTGCACAATGTTCTCTAACCTCTGTCATACTTGGTTGCTGACTCCCTCTTCTTGATCTCATTGCTCATTTCCTATTGTTCCTGATTATTCTGAATGGATCTTCAGCGACTTTTTAGAAGGGACAAGTTGTATTTCACAGAATTACTGCTTCTGTTTTTATGGTAATAGCCTTTGTTTTAAATTCTTTCATTACCTTAGTTGACAGTCCACCGCCACCTTCTACTGGTGGAGGGTTTGAAGACCAGAGCTTCAGGCATTTAACAGGCAGTCTCCACTCTGGGAGTGTCTAACCTTTGTTCCTACTTAAGATAGCCAAACTCCCCCTGGGCACAGCTGTTTGATTCCATATTCATACCTCTATGGCTCTTTCTTACCTATTTCCAGCTCTGGTTCTGCCTCCCTCCCCATCTCCTGCTTTCTTCCTTCTTGTAGCCCTAAGTACCCAGTGTCATCATCAACAACAAGACCTCATGCTTCATGATTAGCCCTCCTCCAGCCCTCCCAGCTTTCGTCTACCCTTGGCCTTCGCCTCTGAGCCCATCCCCTTCTGCTTCGAATCTACACTTGCATTTGTTTTCTCATGAGGCGTCAGGAAGGCAGCCTTTTTAAGCTCATTCATCACTGACAACCTCCCAAGGCTTTATGTATGTAATACATATATACACTTGGGTTAACAACCCAAATGAGTTCAAGTTTGGTGACACTTCAGGAAATATCAGAAAAGAACCTGGGGGGCTTCATACTATTTTGTTTAATCTGCCCTAGTTTAATCCCCCCTAGTTAGCCCTTCCCAGGGCAAAGGAAAAGGAGAACTCTTGCTTCTAACACTTTGGCCTCTCCAGAGGAAGAGTTGGCCGTCATTCTGCAAATCCCTTGACCTACTACTAGCTTTTCTGCTGGGCTATGAGACAGAGACTGACATTTTTCATTTGTGAGAGTCAGCAGTTCTCTCTCAAAAAAAGATTAGTTCTGTCTACCCTACCCCCCAACTCTCTTTAAACCAAATATGATTCGGTCTTCTTGGCTCCTAACAGCTGGGGATCCGCTCAAATGTCTGGGGGGAGGAGGGGATGACCCTGTGACACACAGATAGATCATGATTATGCCTTATTTTAAAAGAAATCTTCAGAAAGACTTCTATTCCCTTTAGTTGATCCAAGAAATGCCTGGAATTCTGTTTATTCTGTGATAAATTAATAGCTCAATGATTCATTTATTTATTCTTAATTACTATTTGGCACAACAATTAAGCAAGTCATTAAATGTATCCTAAATATATATGATTGGACAAGATTTGTTAATATATGAATTCACCTTCTTATTCCCATTTCACTCTTCCCTCTTCATTGCAGCCCACACATTTGGCAAGGAGTGTCATTGCTGGTACCATTTATGGCTCCTTTCTGATACAATAGAATAAAAGACCCAAACTGAGACATGGACAGAAAAGTAGGGAGGGCTTAGCCAGAGAAGGCAAGTCAATCAAAATGGACTTGACACGGCAAGGGGGCAGGAGGAATATTGTAAAGAGGTTAGAGGAAGAGTTGGGGGATTTGACATATGAGAAGCTCTGGGACAGGTGTGAGGTGGCAAAAGCTGGAGCGTGCAGAAGGGAATGTGAAAAGTGTTTCTGGCTTGTAAGCTCATCTCTCCAAAGTTCATCCACAAATGCAAGTGAAGAATAGCTTTCTTTCCTTTTTTTCTGTTTCTTATTAAAATTTAGTTTTAGTTACTTTTTATTGCTACACTGTGCTTCTTTATAAGCAATTCAGAAACAGAAACAGAACCAGCAGTTGCCCTAGGATTCTATAGGGTTACCTGAATAACAAATATTTCTAATTTGGTGTACATGTACCATAGTTTCCTGCAGGCAACAAAAAAGGGGGACTGTTGTTTCTTATCCCATGACCAACTTCTCATACCTGAAACTTCCTTTTTTCCTTCTCCTCAGGCACTTAAAGCAATAAAAAGCAGTTTGGGAATTTCTGCCAATGATGCCTTTTCATTATATGAAACATCTGTTAACTACCTGCTATGTGACAAGCAAAGGTGAATAGAACATGGCTCTAACCTTAAGGGGTTCAAGTACTAATGAGTGAGATGGATGTGTAGCAATTCATTAAAACAATGAATTGCCTTGCAAAGGAATTATGACTCGTATCTTATAAACAATGGGGAGGGGAGGTACTGAAAAGTTTTAGCAGGGCAGTGACATGCTTAACTCTTTATTTTTGAAAAGTACTTCTAGTGGTCCTGGCTAAACAGAAAGACGGGAGGTAGGTAGGAATATTGCAGTCATATAGGGAAAACCAAAGAATTTATGTAATAAGACAGTGGAAGGGTAATAAAGAGAAGGGGTTTGGTCAAAGAGATAGTTTGTTGATGGGAATAAAAGGATGAGGAACTTAGGAACTTTAAATCAGACAGTGGGTAACAAAGACAAGTGGTTCCGATATTCTTCTTATATTCCTGCTGTGGGCAACTGGTTTGTATTCCTCATTAAGTAAAATGGACATATAGAAAGGAGAACAAATTTTGGATGAAAATTATATATATATATATATTTGGGGAATGTTAATATTAAAGAACTCCAAGGAACATCCAGCTAGAATGCTCAGTAATGCTGGCGAGATACCAGGCCAAAATGATGTTCTCTTTATTACCATCCACCTCCTCTACCAGGTAGATGTAAGAAACACAAGGTATCGATGCCTACAAAATAGAGCCACTGATGAATAGAAGAGTATTTTACAGGCTTTTGTTTAATGCATCGATTAGATGTATCTAGGATAGGTTCACATTTTGTTACTGATGGCATGAACTGTTAATGATGAGATGTAATTATATCTCCTAAGAAATGAACACTTTGCAGGCTTAGGGTGCATACTTACCACACTTGTGTTAAGAGCTCTGAACTGGATTCATCTTCTCTCTAGCCAATCTAAACCCCCACATTTTTCTTTTCTCTCCAGAAAAGGAGGCTATTGGTACCACTTGAAAGCAATGAGGTTAATGACAGGAAGAGAAAGATCTCAAAATCTAGTTTTCATCTTTCAAGGGAAGTTGGTTAGCACTTCCCAGCAATGGCCAGGTTAACCTACTGAGAGTTTTCTAAGAACCAGAGACAAAGAACTGATCAGAAGGCAGCCACATTTATAGAGATTTTATTGTATGAAAGGTATTTTCCTATATAGACATAAAAATAAGTACCAACTACTTTCTGATGGTTGAGAGGGAGTGTGAGAAGGGAAGAGAGAAGATTAAAAAAGTGACAAAGACTTGTTTCAATCCAAAGTTAATGCCAGAATTTACTCATCTAAAATTAACCACAGATTTGTTTCCATAATCTTTCCAATAATTGATCATTGTGCTTCTTATTTTTGTATACTTGGTATATCATATATATTTCAAATTTTATATAAAAGCTTCTGGTAATCTTTGGCACTGAGATTCCTAATTTGGAGGTAATTCATGTCTGATTTTCACGGGGTGTAAGGAGGCTGTGGGAATCCACATGTGATCCTCTCCCACTACTAGAGTTCTTCTTGCTGGTGTTTCAAAAGCAGTTCCTCATTTTTAATCTTAAAACAATCCATTTTGTAATTTTCTGATGTTAGTGAGTTGACATCAGGGTCCTTTTTGATAAAATATTTCCAAGAAGAAATAAGCAAACTCTGTTCATGGAACATCAAATGAAAACAAAGGATGTCCTAGGACTATCTCAGAACAATTCATAGAAATTAAACCCTGTACCTTCCAGTTTGTTGCTCTGTGTTCCCTAAGGTGGGTTAGGAAGACTCACCTGGTGACTTTCCTGATGATCCAGTTATCCTGCATCAGCCCTAGATTTCCAACATTTCCTGTTAATTTACCTCCTGGAAGGGTTAAAAGCAAGACTGGATTTAAAAGGTGGAGTTGTGGAATTAACTCTGTTGCCAGAGAAGATGAACTTTCCAGGCACTGATTCCTGAGGAGAGGTTCCTTAACGGTGTGGCCTGGACATTAGAAAGATTCTCCCACCGCCCAGCCTGCGTTTCATCTGTAGCTTCCCCAATGCACCTTGTGTAGTTATTGGGGAGAATGACTTTGCAAGGTGAATGAATGGTCACCAAGAGCATCAGGGTTTAGTCATGAGTATACTAACTGGGGGGAATCCAGAACCAAGTACTGGTCCTGGTTTGCGGAAGTCACTTGCCTTCTCTGAGCTTCAACATCCTCTAAAACTAGAAAGAGCTAGTATGCACTAACACTTCCCATGTTCCAGGAATTATTATATTCTTCTTGTGTACCATCTCATTTAATCCTCAGATTTCTGCTGTGGGCTATGATTATAATTATCTCCATTTTGCAGATGGGGAAATCAAGGCACGTAGAAGTTAAACAATTTGCCCAAGCTCATATATGTCAGTAATGACAGCTTGGATTCAAATCCTGATGTACAGACTAGCTACAGTCTCTGCCCTTATCCATAACACTACACCACCTCCTCAAGCGAAGGGAAAGGACTGGAAGACCATGAGGATCGGTTCAGCTCTACCAGTGTGAGGACGGGGAGGGGAAGAGGGTTCTAATTCTGAGCTGGGACTATGTAACATTTAAGACCACCTGCTTCCTTCCCCCTATCGAGAATCTTGGGACCATGTCCTCACTGTTAGGCTACAGGTAGCACTGCAGGACTTGGTTTAGCTCCTGTGCCCCACAAGAATACTTATCGGGGCCATTCTTTTCTGTGTATGTGGGTTAAGCCAGATCTCAGTGGTAGTGGGACCTTGGAGAAATTAGCTGTCTGAAATGTTGGCCACAGAGAAAAAGGCTGCAGCAAGAAGCTGCAAGCTCCCAGCTCTCTGATTTGAGAGGGACTTGAATAAATCAGAAGGAGCCATTGAGGCTGGAGCTGGATCTCAGGGCCCCATCCTGGCCAGGGGCTGTTCACCCCGGCAAACAGCAGCAACAGCAGCAGCAGCAACAACAATAACAATAACAAGAAGCCAAGTTCAGGCTAAGAAAGCAGAGCGTGTGCGGGATAGGGGGCTTGATGAGGCAGTTGCTGAAGGCGGTTGTGAAGGTGAAGGTGAGGGTGAGGGTGAGGGAATAAGGGGAAGCAAGAGACAGCACCAAAGGGACTTGGAACAAAGAAAGGGGTAACAAGGGATTCCAGTCAAAGAGTGTGTCAGTAGCCCAGGAGAAGGCGAAACCATTAGTGAGCCCTGAAATGGAATGAGAGGGAAAGAAGAAAGCAGCTTACAGCGACCAAGAAGAGGAGGAAGTGGGAGATGTGCTGCTTCCTGTAGAAAGAACGATGACTGAAGACAAAGCTGGGTGGGGACTAGTCCCTGGGCTGCAGGCGCCGCTGCTACACTTGCACACAACAGCCGGCCGCCGCTCCGTGGGCAGCTCCTACTACTGCTGAGCTGGGCTGGGCGGGCTGCGCCGGAGCTCGCCTGCACAGAGCAGCTCGGAGAGAGGAGGGAAGCCACTCTTCTCTGACCACCCTCAGAGCCAAGGTAAAGGAAACGCTTTTCATGTCGCTCCTTTTTAAACGAGAAAAATGACCGCGTTCTGTGGTTGTAAAGGCAGATTTCTGGGGGAAGATAGGGACATTGTTTCAGGATTGGGGAAAATGATTAGTTTGGGTTCATTTTTAGAAGGCTTTTTGAGAATGACCAAATTTGTGACACATCTGCTTTTTTTTTTTTTTTAATCATCATTAGCGCTTACTTTGGTGACTTGTCAGGAAAACGTGGTAAATGTAACAAGCTGTTTGCATAGTTCTCTGGGAAGAAAAGCGAGGCTGAGTTAAAATCAATTGGGGCTGTGGAGCTGTGGTCTGATCATCCGAGCGTTGCAGTCCTGTTTTAGGGGGTGTACGTGGTGTAAAATGTTAATTGCATTATATTTCCTGCACATTGCACTGTGTATCTTCTGTTTTGCAGCATAATGACTGTAATTTGGCCTTTTGGGGAGTGGGGGGTGTTAAACCCTTTTGTACTCAGAATTTGCCAACAAAGGCTTGGAATTGCGTATGTGTGAGGCAGTATTTACCATTAAGAAACGGGTGTCTTCCTCCCTCTACTCTGTGCAACTGCTTGCAGGATAACCTCAGAAACAGCTACCATTTGCGAGTAGGTCTTCTCCTAAAGTTACAACCTTTCTCAGAGGAGTGTGATGGATTTAACTTGTCCAGAATCAGATACTGGTGTATACATGGTTTTTATGTTTATATGGATTCTATTCATCTATCAAGACACATTAGGTTAATGCCTCAGGGAGGGACAAAATATAAAAAAGTGTTGCTGGCTTGTTTCCTTACCTATATACACCACAGATAGACTGAAATAGTAAAATCAGATTGTGATTTTTATTCGTTGATTTTCTTGAACGGTGGATGCTCTTAAGGAGAGCCTGTGACCATGGCTTGTGCATATTTATGAATGATATGTAAAAGTGCACAAATAGGTCTAACGGATAATGAGATTGTGGGTTCCTTTGGCCGGATATGTAGGCGAAAGAGTTTAATACCCTAGCGTAGCTGGTTTTTAAAATTAAGCTTTGTCTCAGAAGAAAATGTGGTTAAGCAATGAATGGTCATTAATAAAAGATTTTTTTCTTGAGTTTTTAGAATGAAAGGAGATAAATTTTCAAAGGAAAGAAAGAGCTGCTTATAGTGGAGTAAAAATAATAAAAAGGTTTATTTAGACACTAATAAATTCTTAAAATATAGGTTTTTAAACACTAACTATGCCATTGAGAGTGTATATGCCTCCTCATTTATCATCATTCTCAATTGTGAAGAGATATAGGGGTTTTTTTAATGCTATTTTATGAAATTGATTTGGCTTCTCAAAATCTGTGGTGTAACAGCACATTTTGAGAGATAAGAATATTTTGGTACCAAAGGAAAAAAAATGTCTACTTTTCTGAGGTTACTTATTAAATTAAACTGTGCTATGTCTAAGAGGCAAAATATTGCGGGCGTTGAAACCATGGAGCGCCTTGGACAGCTTCATAGGGTTTAATCAAACCTGTGGGCAAAATAAGTCACGCCACACATTCCACAGTTCCACTTCCCATTTGCCTCCTAAAGTAAAATTGTAGAGATAATCTTCCCAGAGAGAAGATCTAGGATAGATCTTGGATCCACAATGCCACTAACTGGAGTTCTGTGATCAAGTTGCCTGTCATTAAATGAAGAAGAAAGTTGGGAATCTGGGCTGAATGAAAATAGGGGCTCACCCTCTGGTACTTACTCATCTACAGTCTTTCTTCACTGGATAATGCCAACACCCTGCTTTGTTTGGGGATGTGTAGTCAGTCAGTCTGCGTTCCATATTTTCCGTGTGTTTCACACAAGAGTAAGAAAATGAACCCTTGGCCCCTAGGCACAGGAGAATTAAGACAGTCCCCTGCTTTCTTTCAGAAAACAATGAAGAGGTGCCTATTTTCTGCACAGCACAGAACATTTTCCTAATTGTTAACTTCCAGCTTGAAGCATAACATTAGTGAGTAACAGCAGATCAGTAACTATAATGGTAGAAGGTTTAGGAAAAAGATGAAAATGCTCCTACACTGTAGAATGAGACTATTTTCACTTATTCTGGCCATATGGAATATTGAAAGGCATAATGCTTTTGCCCAGGGTATTCAGTGGCTTTTAAGGGAGTCGACCAACACTGAAATTTTAATTGAATTTTTTTTTTCTGCCATATGGCCAATGGCTGAGTGGAAACATGACTCCATTATTTCATGGCCAGCCCTGGGCATCGTATGGTGGGCACGTAGTACATGTATTTGGTTGACTGACTTTTTTAGACTACTTCAGAAGGCAGGCTCAACTTTTAAGTATAAAAGCTCTATAGTCAAAGCTTTGGAAAGCCTATTCAAAGAGACAACTGTGCATAGAGGAAAATAAAATCATGGAGTGAAAGGAATGCGGACTTTGAGAGTCAGGCAGATCTGCCTTTGAATCCTACCACTGGTTCTTACCTACTTGACCCAGCATGTTAATTTATGAACCTTAGTTTCTTCGTGGTACATAGTCAAGGTGGCATTTTTTGTTTTGTTGATTTTTAATTTTGTTTTTGCTTTTGTGTATGGATATGTGAGTGCCTGGGACAAAGTAGGTTCTCAGATGTCATTTTTTTTTTTCCTGTGTGGTATAAGGAAAAATTAGCATTTTCTTCATCTTTTTCACTACTTCAAAGGTTTCAGGAGATATTGTTTTATTGTAGTAAAATAAATTTATATAGCATAAAATTTCCCATTTTAACCATTTTTAAGTGAACCATTCTGTGGCATTAAGGATATTGACATTGGTGTGCAGCCACCACCACCATCCATCTTTAGATCTTTATCTTTTCAAACTGAAACTGTTCCCATTAAACAATAACTCCCCATTCCCTCCTCCTCCAACCCCTGGTAACCACTATTCTACTTGCTGTCTCTATGATTTTGGCTATTCTAGATACCTCGTGTAAGCAGAATCATACAGTATTTGTCTTTTTGTGACTGGCTTAATTCACTTAGTACAATGTCTTCAAAGTTCATTCATGTTATAGCATGTGTCAGAATTTCCTTCCTTTTTAGGCTGGATAATATTCCATTGTATGTATACACCACATTTCATTTATTCATTCATCTGTTGATGGACACTTGGGTTGCTTCTACGTTTTAGCTATTGTGAAAAATGCTGCTATGAACATGGGTGTACAGATATCTGTCCAAGTCCCTGCTTTCACTTCTTTTGGTGTACCCAGAAGTGGAATTGCTGGATCATATGTTAATTCTATGTTTAATTTTTTGAGGAACTGCCATACTCTTTTCCACAGCAGCTGCACAATTTTACATTCCCACTAGTAGTGCACAGGGGTTCCTTTTTTTCTCCCCATCCTCACCAACACTTATTTTCTGGGGAGTTGTTTGTTTTTGATAGTAGCCATCCAAATGGGTGTGAATTGGTATCTTTGTGGATTCAATTTGCATTTCCTTAAAGATTAGTGATTTTGAGTGTCTTTTCAAGCTCATTGGCCATTTGTGTATATTCTTTGAATAAATCTTTATTTAAGTCCTTTGCCCATTTTTAAATGTGATTGTTTTCAAAGAGGTATTTTTTAATGGTATGATGCCTTAGCATAGTGTCATAATGATCATGATTATAACATTTATATTTAATCACCTATATTCATCAGTATTATTCCTGCCCAAGTGAAATCCTTCTCTCAAAAATAACTTTTAAAATCAAAAGGAGAGGGGGCCGGCTGAGTGGCTCAGTTGGTTAAGAGCTCGCTCAAGAGTTTGAGCTCTGAGCAACAGCGGTTCGAGTCCAGCCTGAACTGAGCAGCCTCTGAGCTGCCAAAAGGTAGCAGGATGGCTCAGCTAAAAAAAAAAAAAAAATCAAAAGGAGAAACTAAGAAAATCTATATAGCTCTTGATAATTGGTGATATCAAGAACCTGATAGTGAAATTCAAACTGTTATTGTTGACGGTCACACCAGGGCCTCTGCTGGTCAAGTGTGGATTAGACTACTACAAAGGAGGCACTAATGCTGGAGGAGGGGGGCGGCACGTGGTGCTATTGCTTCAATGTCTTTCCAGTCTATACTCAGCGGGATAAGAAAATAATGCCCAGTAGTAGCAGGGTCAGAAGAAAAGAGGAGATACTAAAATACTAAATTGCTCTCCAAACCTTTATCATGGGAAGCATTAAGCTGTGGAAAAGGGCTATGTAGTTAAACAACAATAGATTCCTGGGACAACAGATTTCTAATACAATGTGATTCTAATCTAAATTTCACATTTGAAAATAAAGAACCCTTCTGTGTTTCATTTTTCATTACATAGTTCACTCCTGATTTCCAAACTGGTGAGGCAAGGTATGAATGGGGCTGAAGAGAGTTGGGCAGGAAGATTAGGGAGGACTCTATTGAATAGGGACAATATCTGAATTTTATACTGTGGGTGTAGATGCTGACATTGAGTGGTTTGAAGGGTTCCTGAATGATTGCATGTTAACTTTTTGTAATGCACTCTATGTGTGTTCGGGAGTGGGGGAGCTGGTGGATAATGACCCCTGACTTTGTTTACTTTCCAAATCTGTTCATTTCACAGATTCTTGGCAGACCCATACCTGGTTCTATAGATCTGGAAGGAAGAAGGGAATTACTGAATTGTATTAAGGCTTCGTCCCTGGCCTAAGGCATCAGAAAATGGTAGAGCTGAAAATGACCTGTAGGTGAACCTAGCCTGTAATAGCCCCTCCATGACAGACAATGAAATAGGCCCAGAATTTAAGTTATCTGCCCAAAGTTGCACAGTTGATTAAAAGCTCACCTCCCAATTCAATCTCCATTTCACTTTTCTCCATAATCGGCCAAGTGAATAGAGAAAGTCTTTATATTTTGTCACTTTAAAAATTGTTTATAAGTCCAAATTATTTTGTTTAAAAAGAAGAGGGTAATGTTTACATTTAACACACTATGTAAATATGGAGTTTCTGTGTATAAATTTG